CTCTCACTGCTGGATGTCCACAACCAAAAATGCAGGTGGAATGGAGGTAGCAAACAAAGTGAAACGCATTTGAATTTAACAAAACAACATCGAAGACGAGCACACTAGTACAAGTGATGAAAGTGCGAGCGCCACCTTCTGGCCACCTTTCATCACAAGTTAAGTCGACCACTTATTTATATTGAATTTACTTTTAGGCCACAATTTGGCAAAGAGCTCAAACAAAATCGCCCAACCGAAAAGATGTGAAGAGATATGACCAGATCGTGCAACAAGAGGAAATAACAACGCTAGACCGGTTTGCTCATAATGAGAAATATACCGGGGTACCCGGCGAAAACCTGCCAAGGCGAGTATGGACTGGAAACCAAATGCACTCGGTCTCATTTCTTGCTGGGTATAGACTGGAGCGGAATTTGAACCTGTGACCTCCAAAGAGCCACCAGCGCAGGGCTGGATAGCTCAGTTAGAGGAGCACCGGTATGATGTTCCGCAGGTCGTAGGTTTAAATCCCACTCAAGTCAATTTCTTTGTACATCTTTATAATCACACGTAAGCAACTAATCACTTTTCCTATATTTCTCTGTACAGGGTGTTTCAAAAAAGCATACATTTAGAAAATTGTCTACAAAATAGAAGTTTGATTAGCTTTCAGAAATCTTTTATCATGTATCGATCACATCATTTATCAGCCGTTCTGCATGAGTGAACACAGGCGCAAACTTTACAACCACGGCTTGTAATTCTGTTTTAACCCTTTCATCTCTATGCCCAAGCCAGGTTTAATAAATTAGGAAAATATAAATCCCCTCTGCTCACTCATGCAGAACGGCTGGTGAATGATGTGATGACAAACAAAACAAGAAACCAAGGTCTATCGATCCATGATAAAAGATTTCGCTTTGGAAACAAATCAAACTTCTATTTTGTACTTTCTGAAACAACTTGTATGGTTTGTTTCATGAATTTTTTTATTCATAATTTTCATACGGACGAAATGATCTTGCATAATGTATAGAGAATTTCCACGAATCAAAGTAGTCAGACTTGGAATTTCCACCAATCAAAGTAGTCAGACTTGTAAACTCGTTAATTATAATCGTAAAAACAAGTCCGGAGCAATACGGGCGATTCACAACAGTGCGCTTCCAAGAGTTTGCAAGACGTTGGCCAATCACGACGCGCGAAATCTGTCGACCTTTTCCACACGCGCATTGGGCCGACAGATTTCGCGCACCGTGAGGGGCCAACGCGTTGCGAACTCTCGGCAGCACACTATTGTGAATCGCCCGTATATCATTTTGATCGGCTGCTACCTGCTTTGGTAGATTAGCTGATTCGTCATGTTCAACGGCTGGCAGGTCAATCAAGTCTGGATTTCTGAACTCAAAGTAATTAATGGACACAAGAGGGCGCAAAGCAAGCAACGACGCGAGGCCTCCATATCCAAAGCATAAACACAGACGTCACGGAAGATCCCGACTTGAGTCAAGTCTACTACACGGCCCGACATTCTGCCTGTCGTGACGATAACCCTGACGAAGACTCGACCTGAGCTTTAGCGTGAATTTCCCCACCCAAGCGACTCCAACTGCATGCCAGCCCCAGTACAGGGCAGACAATTTCTGTCAGCTACTTAATTACGTTTCTGCAGGGGACTTCATTTTTCCTGGAGCACCTACATAGCCCCACGCACTTCCCAATGGATGTACTCCCTCCCAACGCCTTATCTTCCCAAAGATTTATGATAATAAGAATTCATTAACTGACGACGCGATGATATCTTCGTCTTATTATTTTGTCACTTTGATCGAAAACCCTATTTGCCGAGGGTATACCGATCAATCGGGGGGAAAAGGCCAAGCTTGGGAGTGCAAAACAGCCAATTCAATCGATTCCTGTCTGGCAGGTAGACAAACAGCGAATATAAAACCGTGCATCCCTGCAAACTAGAAGACAGGGAAGAAGAGCGAAATCAACATGATCCGTCCAAAATGTCAAAGAGGTAGCGCGGTGGAGTTTCACTTGCCGTACCCTGTTGACGATCTACGAGCGGACGAACACAGCTTATGCCCGGTCACGCCGAGGGCCCGGAAATCATTGCAAGAGTGCTAGTCTCGGACAGTACACGGATGGGTTCCTTTCATGACCGACTCCTGACCGAATTTCAGAGCTGGCATTTTCCACTTGAAAAGAAGTAAAGGTCCCCGTGGCAACCACCCACTCCACCCCCCATCCCTGAAATCAGTACAGGTAAACACTAATCAACGTGTTACCATAAACCATGCCAAGGTAAGAACTGACAACAGAAAAAGAAAGATCTGCCTTCGTCAGCGTCACATCTGGTAAAATGTCACGTCGGCTTTAAAAGGCGCTCCCACGGGGGAAAGTTCGATGCTTTAACATTTAAATAAGGACACACCACTACGAGCGCAAGCCCATGCGTACAGATAGCCCAAAGGGTATAATTACATCGCTGATACACATCCACGTATTATACAATTGTCTGTAGTGTCCTGTTGTCATCGAGAACTAAACTGGCTGATGTGCGTTTTTATTACACTGGCATCCGACTTTTTTGCCTGTGGAAAAAAACATGTAATTAACTTTCCGCGAAAAACATGTGTAGAACTGTGGACTGTTGGCTCCGTTCTTCACAGAAAATTGACTGAGGTTGATACAACTCGCCCGATTAAGGTTCATTTTACTTAAAATGGACTGCACGTGTGATAACCACTTTTTTTTTTAAATTAAAGAGACTGTATATTACCGGCCACCGTGAAATGTTTTTCCATGTAATGCTGAAACATTAAACCAACATGATTCAACCTTTGGGGGAAACTGTTTAAAAATAATATTAGTATCCTGAAATTCAATATTTGTTGCAAGTTACTGTCCATTTTACATGTATTTATGCATTTATTTCCTTTTATTTTTTTAATCCCATCAGTTCAGTGTACAAACTTGGAATTTTAACTTAACCACCAGACCGTGCTTTGACTTTTTTTTATCTAAATGATGAGAATAAATGTGCCTACTTATTGCCATTTTCAGAATGAGTATGCATTTTTGAATGGCGGGGAAGTGCTGCTGCAAAGGATGAATGCAAATTCTAATAAGGGGCTCCCAAGAAAACGAAAGTGATATTTCAGAAAAGTGTGTACGGCCTTCACTTTGACCGGCTCATTTTCAGAGTTGCGCGTGCATGATCAAACCTGGGAAATTGAAAGACTACCCGAAGGCTTTGAACGGATCGAAGTGTTTGTTCGGCGACGGTGCAATGTCCCACAGAATACACGGGTGAGTGTATGAACAAGCGAGGTATAGGAGTCAGTGACCCAATATGGAAAAACAAGACGACATGAGCTGTATGTGATCTGCATTTATGTTGCAGTTACGAGCTCGAAGACCAAAACTGCGAACGAGGATGCGGGAGAGAAACCGCGGGGGAAGGATCGAGCACTACGCATTGTACGAGAGCTTGCGCACAAGCCTAGGGTATGATTGTGTTCTGATCTGGAAATTTTGTCTCGTCAAACAGAACTTTTGTTGCACGTACAACAAAATTTCATGACTGCGCTTGTCTACACGCAACAGTCTTACTAAATTGTGCCCACTTCATTAATTGAGATCCTGATGTACATTTGCATTGTACAGAGGTTATATCACCGAGGTAAAAAAAATCTAAGCTCTGGCATAATTGATTAGTGTACTGTCAAATTTGAGGTCATGCTGCTGTACTTCAAAGTCTCTTTAATTCAACAGACCACATGGAAAGAAAGTTGTGGTACTATTAGGAAGCCTTCTTTAAAATTTATTTACATTCTGTTAAGTTGATAAGGGAACTAGAAACCGACCCCATATCCCACACTTCACCGACCATTCGCTGAACGTGAGATCATCATTTTACTTTGCCTTGATCGAAAAAAAAGACTGCCGTCGGTAGATACTTCCATCGTCAAGGTCGATGGCGTTTGCAACTGGTTAATTACCACAAGTTCCTATGTACATAGCCCGGTCCCGAACTTGGAAAACAACACGGCAGCGGAATGTCTGCCGAGCGAAACTCAACGCAGTTACTCTGAAGCACCCCGCGGCAACGCCTTCGACAAAACATTTCACAAATTCAATTCATGTTGAGGTTCAGACACTGCGCAATGCGCAACTGCTCGAGCCGCGCATTTTGTCTTCTTGCTGCACGTGAGCACTTGCTTGGTGGACACTGGTAATGTGATTACAGTAACAATATGAAAGCCATTCTGGGCATGCACAACGATACAAACATTCTTTACATGTCAATTAGTGCATGTCACAATATGGGCATGTGACGAACTTCAAATGCTGATAACTGCTGGATTGGCTAATCATTTTTGATTTCCAGACATGTTTCGTCTTCCAACCAATTTACCACCGGCTACTTACAGCTGGAAAAAGTACAGGAACTCGGCAGTTTATTTTGGTGACGAGAAGAGTAATTGACACTGCTGGTGCATATGGCATTCTAAAAACGAATAGCAAAATAGCGAGGCCCTGAAGTGTCGATCCTAGCAAAATCTTTCTGAAAGGCAAAATGACAAGTAGACAGGGCAAACAAGCAAAACAAACAGGGAATCAGCCAAGCATGGACGAATGCAGGAGGACAAAAGGAAAGGTCAAGAAAGCAGGTGTCAAGCTCACATTTGTAAGCTAACTAAAACCTGAAGATAGCTGTTTGGCAATAGAGGGTAAGCGGCGAAAACATATTGTTTATTGGTATCATGTATATAGCTAGCAGCAGACTAAGCCTAGATCAACACCAATTCAGTAGTTCAGTGTTCACGCAATGCAGTGAAACGCTTTGACAAGTCCTCCAGAAGGCTACGCTTTATAACAATGCTTGTGTATTAAACTACGCGATCACAACCTTTCGCACGGGATTGGTAGGTTCTAATTAAGGGCACGATGAACATTACAGAATCGTAAATTTGACAGTCACATTGAGACTAATAGAACAGCATTACCTGAATCTGTGGCCAGTCACGGTGAAAGCATTTGCTCCTCGAAGGCAGCTGTAGCCCAATTCTCCCTACAGATCAGTAGCATAGTTCACCTTGATTTGTAAACAGTCAGTCATGCAGTGCTCGCAGCAGCCAACCAGCAATCCAAGAAATCCAAACTACTATAGGCTTTCAATGAAGGGCACCCGCAAGACACCAGAAGTCTCTACAGCTTTGACCCATGGGGAGTTCCCAGCAGAGAGACCCAGTTTCGCATCAGATTCCCGCCCGACCGTCTGAGGCGGCGTTCTAGTAAGAATTCCCGGCAGTTCGCCGCCCAGAGTATGGACGCGTTTGTCTACAAATTAAAGCCAGACGTGCGTTACATTCACAAATATATTAACGTCTAGAAACTGTCTGTGGTTATATTCCCCAGGGCTCTATGTATTCTCTAATTACACGACGCCCTCTGTCGACAAAACCGAGTAATGTACTTACATCATTGTTTTGCTTTGATGAATATACCCGTCACGCACTCACGCTGCTACACTTGAAGGCCCTTGAAGTCACTAAAAGGCCAAAAAGGTTACATAAAAAAGGCAAATATTTTGGCCCCTCCCCCCTCAAAAAAACGAGTTTGGCCCCTCGGAAATTTGTATCTGCATCAGTCATTAGCAGCATAATTAGGCCCTAGCCAAGTGAGGTGCCTGGTGGTATAGAACAAAAGTGGATGACCGATAAGTGAAATCGGGAGAGTAGATCACATTCATTCAAGTGAAAATATATCAGAAATGCGCAGACCCAGTAGGCCCTATGGCGATAATAGATATACAAAATGTACTGTGATACCAAAATATTCCCAAATCGACTGCTATCTTAACAGTGTTTCCGTAACATAATTTTACACTAAACGGGGCGAAAACTCGACGTTGCATGGGCGAACAAACCCCCACTCTGAGATTGATTATCTATGCAGACACAACACATGCATGAACTTTGCAAAGCATGTGGTGAAGTAGCGCTTTTATGTCAAGGCTTATATCTCCGCATAAATCTCGAGAAGGAAACACAGAGCGCTGTGGGTAGTATTGCGGCACTCAGTCCCTGAAGAATGACGCGCAAGTTGCGTGCGGGGAAAAAGTAAAACCTTTTGCACTGTGAACTGCTAAGGCTTGAGTTTGTACCCCATTATAAGCCGCAATCGCATTATGTACTCGTAGTTGCTATTTATGCACACTTCGTTAAAATGGGAAATGTTGATCCCATCAGACGATCCATAGAGGGCTTTTATCATACAGAACAACTGACAAACCAAACCAAAACAAACGTCGAAGTTCCAAGCATACTGTAAAATTATTGGGCAATAAAGGTTGGTACATCTGGTCCTCCAAAAAGTAAGTCATTGAAAATTATGTTTGTCACTATCCTTAAAATTATCCAAAGGTTTTGCCTTTTTGAACGGACGTTAGGAACGTTATTAATTACCGACTTTGCTAACCGATTGAAAGGGAGAGAAATTACCGTTTCCGTACATTACTGTACAGAAATGACTGTTTAGCCATAAAGCACGTGCGTGTCGTGATCCGTATGCGTGACGGTGAGTGTCTATTTTAATCCGTTTACACGAGCAAAATGCACTAAAAGGGATGTGAATACGGAAGTTGCAACACGCGAACATGGAAAAGCGCCAGTTTGGACCTCCATACGGCCTCATGTAACATATGTATCGCTTCGGAATGAGGTCACTGTAGGCTATAGCAAAACCTTGATGACATGTCGCAGTGCCATATTTATCTTTTTCTACGAGTAGCTCCTACCTCTTCAGATCTGTCTGAAGTGGGGCACCAGTGCCATCTCTTTATACCGTGGAGAACTGAAGTTTCTGAACGGAAAGTGTAGAAAAACCAACTAGGTCACTGATGAGGAAACGAAAAAGTATGAGTCTGATCCGCCCCCCAAAACCAAAAACAAATCCAGTCGCCCGTGAAGTGAGACTGGTTCCAATCCCAGCCCAGAGCTTGCAGGTATCTAGAAACCCTCGTGGTCTTAATAACATCTCCAAACCAAACACAGAGGACACCATGACTATGGTATACTTCACTCTAAAAATATAAATGCAGCCGTCACATCTTTCTTTGGCTGGAATCAAACCACCATGTCCAGTAAGACCACTTGCATGGTCGACTATGTCTGTTTTACTGCGAGATAAAAATCGTCATAATTCTGTCACCATGCATTACATGGCATATTTTAATGAAGTCAGAAATCACTGCAGTATTAAATCAAATGCATCGTGCACGGCCACGATAAAACTTACCTTGCAAAATCAACGTCGTTGCATATTGTCGGCTTGTTACAACGACTTATTGTGTCCATGATTAGATAAAAAAAATACAAGCAGATAAACTGATAACAATTTTCGGGCCTCAGATAGTTGATGTGTCGCTTCACACCGGTTGATCACGCTGAGCGTTGATACACGGCGCGATGACCGCGCACATCTCGGCCTCCACAGCAATTCGTCTGATGGGCTTCAGGAAAGGACGGGACCCGCTCGGATCAGCGCACCGCCGGCAAGCCATTCCATCATACCGGCCGAAACGATTGGAGCATAATTGAAGAAAGACGATACGGGTAACCCCAGAACCTGTTGGACGCTACTACAAGGGAAGCATTCCTAGCTCAGTCCCTCGGTTTCCATATGGCACTCTAACGAAAAGGCTGCAACGACATGCGCACGCGCTAAAAACGGAGACAGCTATAATATTAAAATGATATGCCTGGTTTGTTTCTGTGTGGGCGTGACTGGTTTTACAGCCATAGACTCCTCTGCGCCGCCACATGAAAACATTCTAACTCTTTCTTAAAAGATAGATTAAAAAATAAATGGAATAAAATTTAGGATCTTAGTGTCACTATTGCTGGTATAGGTCCTAGATCCTACCACGGAGCTCCTTTTTCTATAGTTCTATGATGATACTAACCGACTGCGTGCGTGCCTATTGTGCCTGCACACAGTTAAATTTTGGAAGGGCTGAGTACATGTTGCCACGTTGTGACACTGCACTTTTATAAAAGGCTCTTAGAATTTCTAAACTCACTGGGAAACACTTTTTGTTCCCACTTTTTTTCAACATGGTTAATCGCGTTATGCTTAGTGGTATGCGTTTAGGAATGTGTTTAAATGCTCAGCGGATTTCAAGAAGCTTAACATGTACTGTGGAAAAGCGTTTAACATTATTTTAAACACTTTCCTAAACACATTTAAATAGACATGTTATGGGTTTGAAAAGGTGGGTATAAAACGCGTTTAAACTCTAAATGTTGTTTTACAGTGTAATGACCAATGCATGGAAGGAAAACTACTGCTGTTTCAATCTTCTTCCGAATTATTACGGTAAACTAAGAATATCATCGTTTTGAAATTCCAAGGAAAAAGTGATTCCCCAAAAGAACAGAGCTTGCCCCTTCCCCCAAAAGACTTTTGTGTTTTGGCAAGGCGCAATGCATCCAAATTATTTCTTCTTCAATTCGGTTTGGTTAGAATTTTGTTCCCTTCGTGGACAAACTAAAATGATTTTTGCCAGTCAAACCGGACCCTCTGGATACATCCACAATAAACGGTGGTGGGCTCTTCTTTGAAGATGCAGACTGAAAATACTTGCCATTTCAAACTGACAGAAAGTGTGATGATGAATGACGTCGAAGTAATCATGACCAAGCGTGGATTTGGCGGGGGGAGGGGTTAAGTATCAAACCCCCTCCCCTGACACATAAACGAAATAGAACAAAATGGTGAAAATTGATGATATCCTGTAAGGGTTATTATATTTATATAAGTAAAATGTGGTGCATTAGGCCTATTTGTGTGTCCATTTATCCTCAAAAATCGGATATAAAAAATCTGACGAGCCCGAACCCCCCCACCACGCAGAAAATTTCCTGGGCCTTCCCCCGAACGACATCTTCTAGAGGAAGTAGTCTAATTCAGCGGCATAATTAACGTCGCAGGGATCAAGTTAACCAGCATGCTTATTAATTTGGCTAGCCGACGCTGGAGCTTAATACCGGGACTCCCACGAGGCGAGATAAATACTTCTCAACCCTTTAAAACTACTGAAATTCTCTGCAACCTTTGACCCTGATCTCTCCAATGTAGTGCTAACTACCGAGTCGTGGCTGTGAACAGAACTTGAGTAAAAGGGCGGGTCGGGTGGGGTGGGGGTATTATTCATAAGTTGTTCCTCCAACAGTTCTTATAACATGGAAAATAAACAAATCTCGAAAAGTCAAATAATAATCGACATTCGACAATAACGGAAGGCTTGGACTGAAGGCTACATTCTGAATGCAAACGAGCTTCGTACCTTGCTAGTAATACCTTAGCCTGATTAGATTTTGCATGTTCCCTCCGACAGCGCCCAAGTTCCTCTCTTGCTAAGCTCAAGATTTAATTGGCTCCCTTATTAGTGTCAATACGCCTCGTGGGCCTTGTCGGCTTAGCTTAGTAACCAGCTTTTGCATTTCCAATCCCAGTAGCCTACGTGTATAAAGTTACTTACCTGTGGTAGCGTATAGGCCTAGTGTGTATCGACTGGTGGTGTTGGTGGTTAGCGAAGTCTATATGTAGACTTACTGTTCGCCTTATAATGTTCCACAAGGAACACAATGCATATTACGGAACGACTCCCGCGCCACGTACTCTGCCAACTCAGCTTTTTGGACACGATTAGCCAACTTCAGGCCCAGGCTTCTCGAAAATGATTTTTCGTCAAACGACGCCTTAAGATCCAGCCTGGTGGGAAAAGGATGCACTATTGTTCGACCGAAGCCGGTGGTGCGGTGCCGGTAACATCGAACGTGCATGCCCTGCCGACGACGATACGACCTATAAATAATCTCGTAATCGAGTTGTTGCGAGAGCTCGGTGTTCGTTCCATGCCGATGTAGCCCCGAGCAAAATGCAGGGCAGACACGTTTACCATTTCACGTCGTGTCTGTACATGACTTGGCCCCTGTTACCAAGTGGGCCTTGATGCTTTTTATAGCAGCCAGATGTAACCAAAACTGCACGAGTGTTGGTCAACGCCAATTTTAGTTTTCAACGGCGTGGTTCCGGCCGCTTTCCAACCATCCATAAATCACAAGAGGGCGCCATACCGGCACCTAACCGGCCTTCGTTGGTGCGCGTCGCCCCGTTGATAAAAATTGGCCTAAGTGGCCCTTTAAAATTTCTTTTTTTCAGTTTCGATTTTCGGGTTTCACCGAACCGCTGAAAATACGTCCACTGCATGAGACCCCGACATAATGATTTTGAAAAATACCAATGCGCCAAGAGCAATCTCATCTTTTGAAGTAACTTGCGAGAACAGTTCTGCATTTTTTTTGTATACTTTCATATTTACAGGGGTACTGTTCATGTACATTGAAAATCAGTACGTGTTTACAAATACTCAGGCTGGCTCCAAGAACACCAACGATGTATTTTGTACTACTTATGATGGAAGGGGCCATACTAAGGAACAGAGATCTCGTGTGCACAGGAAAAATCGCGATTATAAAGTTTTTCCAAGAGCGCTAAAAATCCCGGTTAGATAAGAAACTAATAGCCAAAACGATTTAATTAGATTTTCTGAAGAAAAAATGAACAAAGCAAGAAAACCTGAGAAAAAAAATGGTCATCAAAGTCACACCCCTGTACTTTTTCAATGGCCCGCTCACACTTGTTGCCACCAAGGCCATTTGTCCGCATGCGTGCATAATTATGAATTAATTAGTGAATAGATCTATTCGAGCGCTGGGTGACAAGTAAACGTATCTGCCAGCTATTTGTTCGCGGCGAATTAGCTCATCCACCAAAACAGGTTGCAGCCAGTCAAATTACTGGTTGTTTTTACGTTCATACCTTCATTATAATGTGAGACTGACTACTTGGTGAAAATTCCTTACATTATATACATTATGCAAGATTATGTCATTCATATACAATTATGAAAAACTACATGTCGTCGACGGGGGGTGAGTGTTTGATTGGCCTATTTGTCAAGTCGAACTTACCGCCGACTGGTGACGTATGACACACGTTGTACAATAAAGGCTAGAAGATGAGGGCGCCTTTCGAGCTGCTGAGTGCGACGACCGTGTACGTGTACTGTGTACTGAGGCTGAAGGGATGGCTACGAAAGCCCATTAGTGCCATGGTCAAGTATGTGTTCATAATTCGTTATTACGGATTATTAATTCGTTATGATGGACATTATATAGATTATCAAAGTGTATCATGTAAGACATCACCAAAGGAAAAAAATGTACACTACTTGTTGCAGTGTTTGTGATCCGAAATCTTTAATTTTGTGGTTTATTTTTGCAAAAATACATTTATAGATTATTGCTAATATAGAGTGGCTGTTGATAAAAGCAATACTATGTTCACCACTGTTTATCAAGTTTTTACATGCCTTTAATCGTTAGCTAGGTCCTTTGGTTTTAACCCTAAAGGGTATCAAAAACTGGATTTTATCCTATCGTTGGAAGACACATGAATTTTTTTCTTTTGTTGCATCCAAAATCATTGATGATCTGAGTTGCACAAGTGTCATATAAGGAGTAATTTTCTGTAGATAGTTTCTTAGAATAAAATTAGGGTATGTTTCAAAGACTCCAAATCAGTAAAACTTAGATTAAAGCTCATTTTGAGAACATAAATTTCTTTTACAAACCTATTGCATAAAATTGTCAAAAATATAGGCATTGTCCGGTTCTACCCTACATCTTCATTATGACTGTTTTCCTTAAAAACAGCGGCAAATGCTTTATTTAATTCAGCTAATTCAAAGTATACAGAGATCACCTGTCTTTGCTGCAACTATTAATTCACTGAGAAAAATATCTTACTCATGTACTCTGTACTCGTCGTAATATTGCGGAAAGCGCCTAATCATAATGATAACTGTTTTTATTCAAACGGTTTTTAAGGGAAAGAGGAAAGTATGTAGGAATCTACATATACTTTTGGTGATCTTCAAATTGTGCCTTGTGTTCAAACTCCTTCCGAAAAGACAGAGATTGTATTTTTAGTGAAAGGTAGAATACCAATGTGGCTGTTTCATCTTACTCGCAATCAGCACTTTGCTTAAAAAATGGTTGGCATAATTATTTCCATATTTGTCATCCAACAAACGTGTCAGTAAAAACGCACAGTAGGTTATATATTTTAATCACCAATCACATATAACACATTGAAAATGATGGTTCTTTGCCAGGGACCTTCAACCAATCTTGTCACATGAACGGTATGTGTGACAATCGGGTTGCATAGTTCATTAACATCTTGTATACGTTTCATAATAACCTTTTTTCTAACTGTTCAAAAATTTTTCAAGACGTTTGTAAACTAGTCGGTAGAGTTGAGGCATAATTTTGTTCGAGTTATTGTTGAATTATTATCTTCTATATACTAATTACTCGCTGCATTTAAGGACTTAAGGGAAAATTGCCAAAACATTTCATTATTATAGAATCCCAAAAATGCTTCATGCATAATTTTCCAGTTTTACGTCGTTTCAAAATATTGCACTTTTACAGAACTGTTGAAACAATAAAGAGAATTTACTTGACATCTCACGTCCTTTTTGCTTATTGTTTCAGTTATCCCACTGAAATAGAATCCTACTTTCCTCTACCAATCATGTAACTATTGTGATTCATTTATAAAGCTTCTGAATATTGAAATCACATGTCCCTTAACTAAACAATTTGCTGCAAGAACATAATCAGTATACAAGGAGTTATGTTTACTGGTATATGCCACTATGAAAGACGGAAACATAACACTATTGGTCTACAAGTCTATCTCATCAAGAATCATTCTTCTGAGGCTTTTGTACAAGTTCATTCCCTCTTCAACAGTAACAGGCACAGACACGACGCTCTTCCATCAGGATTGTACAAAGCTCTTATGATTCTTGGGCATCCCATGGTAGAGCGTACCCCATTCACGTAACAATGACAGCAGGGTCACTGCTCGTTGTACAGTATATGGTTCGAGCCACAAAACATGCCTCGAGAAACCATCAATAGGCTTACATCCATTAATGCAGATTCCCTAAGGTTAAAGCTTATCGTAAGAGTCAACATGCTTAATATAATTTGGACCACGAACTTGATATAGCCGTCTTTGCAATCTTTTCCTTGCCCTCGTTTCGACCACCACCTTCACCCATGGATTTGCACACCGTACAAGATACACAGGTGGTTACGTAACTCAAAACGAAGTTCAAGCAGATAAACACTTACGGATCACTGGCGCGGCCCGCTTACTAATTCAAACCAGTCAAAAGATCGATTTTTTTTAAAAGGAAGAGTGAATTTCGATTTTCAAAATTTACCTTGACCCACCCACTATTTCGAAGAAAAAATTGAAATTAAACACATCGAAATTTTGAATGGCCCCTAAATAACGTATTGGACGTGGTAATGCATTTGCTATCAAAGTTGTGCAAGGTGGCAGTAATGTGAATGTCCACAAGGAACAAAGAAATCACAAGGAAAGCAAAAATGCACTCAATACTCGCAAAATTTACTGAAGACGCATTTGAAAAACAGATTATTTGATCGCGCTAAACATGATACTATAACGTCCACCGAGCCTTCTTTGGCCAAATTGGGCGATCCACTGCTTGAAGTTGAAAATGTGTAGGCTTACTTTAGAGTTCTCCTAACCTATAAGTACGGGCGTGGCTGGACCATTTTAATTGGGGGGGGTGCCACATGAAATTTGCCGACGGACCGTCACGCGCGCAAAACGAGTGAAGGCCTACTGTATCCCCCTTTCTTTCCTTCATTCTCCGTTTTTGTTTTTTTTGGATTTTTTCCCCATTTTGCCGACAGACCATGATTTTGCCGACAAAACTAACCAATGGGGGTGTGGGGTGTTACACGCCCCGACACCCCCTCTAGCGACGACCGTGCCTGTAAGGACTGGGGCCTGAGGCCTGTACTTTTAATACAAAAGAAGCACTTCACCATGGCGCTGTATTCGTTTGATAAAATTACCACGGAGCTCACCGTGTTGGCCCTAGGCCTATCTAGTAGGCCAAATCAGGGCGGATAAACAACTAAACATCACGAGAGGGGATAAATTGTGGAAATTTCATTTTGTTGCCTTCTAAGCCCAGCTTTCGGGGGATGCTAAAAATACACGCTTTAGGAAGGTGAATGAAACAGTCTCCCTGAATCGCCTTTATCTTATTACATTGTTTTAAAAAATGCCCTCTGTGTTTGTAAATTGTATTACAGATAACGAAATAACTTGGGAAATGAAAAGTACCCATTCTGGACACCAAACCTGATAATTTTGACTTTTCTCGTCAAAGATTCTACCAAGAGTTGGGAACCCTTGGCTAGAGTAAAAAAAAAATACCTTGCCCCTTTCAATGTTGCAGCTTTTAAAAATTCCTCTTAAATTTCCAAAGATACCCCCACCCCATTTTTCCCACCATCCTCTACAGCATTTTGTGAAAGTTCGGAAAATGTCTTCCTGGAAATTTTGCCATATTTCCTCTTTGTTGCCTGAAGGTCATTATTTGGGGTTAAAATGAGCAGAATTCCCAGGATAATAATTCCATTCACGGTTGGGAAGGTTCGGGAAATTGACATTATAGCCCATGCGTGTGATTACTACGATTTTAACGAGACAGGGCCTAGTTAGATTCCTTCCTATGCAGCACCCCTATTTTTTTTTTTAAAAAAGGTGATATTCACAGTTCCCTAAGAAACGCTTCATTTTTACAGTAGGCCTACACGCAAAAAAGTGGACGCAAAGGCTAGGCGCAAGCGCTATCGGTTGTCTAGCCAACAGGACGCTACAGAGAAAGTTACTTGGTTTACTGCATACCGAATGGCTATGATAATAAAGTGACGTGCTGGCCGAATTATATGTAGAAATAAAGAGTATCTATCTGGAGACGGCGCGAAGGCTGATGATGAGGTCAAAGTTCATTATTACAATTTGGATGGATGCTTGATCGCTGAGTGGATCGCGGCTGCATGCAGTGAATCTCGAGTAGATTGGAACAAATTTAACCAAACTTTCCACAGTTCACAAAACCAAGCACCTAAAAGTTGTCATCTAGGAAAAGTAGGCTTGTGTAAAATGATTGTAATGGTTAAGCCATCGTGAAGTAATTGCCTTGAGTTGGAATAAAGTCACGCTGATGTTAAACAACAGAAACACTAACGGTAACTTGCTGATCCGGTGCTTGAATTTACACCTGGCCCAATTTAGGCATCTGCCTACGCCAACCTCTTTATTTACCTGTCACATGTCATGCATTAGGCCTATATATTTTTCTGTTATCCGTTCATACCATGCATACGTTGCCATGTTTTATGTGGTGAAAATGTGCGTGTGAGTAAGCCACTGACATTGTAGAACGCAGACGCACATTCATTTAGCGTGTGTAGCAAGTAGGCCTACCGGTAGGTACCCTAGCCTATCTAGGCTCAAGTTGGTTCTTGTCTCATTGAGTGGGGCTGTAGGCCCCCTGTGGCATGGCAAAGGCATAACCCGTCTGCTGATTATGGGTCCCCAATTCCATTTTTGTCGATTTTATTACCCAAAATTGCCTAAACATGCTAAATTTGTCGCAGACTCTCAGGCAAGTGCCCTTTCCATCATGTCCATTGACACATGATTGATTGGTTGCGGACTGGAAAAATCTGAGAAGGCCCAAACATCTTTTAAGCCCCCTTTCACCAGCATTTTCTTGATCTTGAGGTTGCCGATTATTATCAAAAAGAACCAATCTTAACCTACATACCAAGTGCAACTTAGCAGGCAGCTAGACTGATGAAGCACGCATGCATTGCATGTGTGAACCTGCAAGCCTCCCTGAGAATGTGAGGGCTTAGCTAGCTGTGCTTGCTCAGTGATGCAGCCATGCAGGCTGCCCGTCTGTGGTGATGCGAGTCTACACATCCAACTAACTGTACCACAGTAATGACCCAACAACCTCAAGTTTACTATACTGTAGTTTATTTCAGAAACTTACGATTTTATTCACGAATCTCAAGTAGCAAAGTATGCCTGCTAAATTTAACTTATGGTTGCCAAACGAAGTAATGTCAGCAGCTCTGCAGTAGAGTGGGCCAGGGCGCGATGGAAGAAACATGTACTTGGGGTTTCCGTTATTATGGGTACCTCGGTACCCGCCCCTTAGGGGAATCAGATACCCGGTTCTAGTACTGCCCGTCAAGGAACACCTCTCTCAATGAGATTGTTAGTTGATACATGTACGTAAGTCATTGGGGCACCTCTTTTTGTGTTTTGAATTTCTCAAATATCTTACAAGGGGTGTGTCTCGGTTAAAAACAACCTTGTAGCCATGGGAAGTCTCCCTTTAACACAAGGATTGAGGCTCAAATTTGGAAAGGGCAGTCATAGAAAATATGAAATTCTGACCAGTCTTGACATTTTCTGTGTCTTTGTGATTCAGTGGCAGGGTTCAAAACTAAGGTTGCCGTTGTTTGTAACATTGGTTTAATATCTTAATCTCAATTTGTTGATCCTGTCAATCAGCAGAACTTAACAAGTTTACAGTTTGTTACTTTTTGTTTGTGTATGAATTATTCCTGAATTCTGTTAATAAGAGTATACAGAAAGGAGGCCTATTTATTTCTCAAATGTTTGTCAACTTGTTTATGAATGCTTATGTGTGTTCAATATCTACATGTATGTTCAATGTGTTCAAGTCAGTATTTTCATACTTCATGTCCTCATTATTTGATATCATTCTTTTTCAGATAAGTAATTGATCAGAAATGGCAGCGAAAGCCAGAGAATCAAGGACCAATGGCACCCCTAGCAACCGGATTGGCCTGGCGCCACTTGCTTCCCTCCGAGAGCCTGTCTATCCCACGGAACGAGCGGCCAAGTCAGCCAAGAAAACTGCCATGGTGGCCCCGCTGGCTAGCGAGGGCAATTTCCAGACACTGAAGATGAAGACCAACCAGAGCCAGTGGACGCCCATCCTTCACAAGCCGTCCAATGAGCAGGTGTGTGGACTCGGCACACAGCCGCAGCATTTATGATAGTCTTAGCTGAAGCATGGGGGAGTTCTCCCTGATTAACGGAACCGTTTGAGATGAGATTTTAAAAGAATTTCCAATTTTATTTCAAATAACAGGCCTAATTTGTTTGAGTTAGATGTCACTCATTTTGGTTGCTTCATTTCATGGCTTTCCTTGAAGGGGAAATCCCTGTTTACTCATCGTGGTGAATTGTTTCCTGGAGAATTAAGGTACAGGGTGTTTGGAGGCTAATACAGGTGCTTGGAGGGTTTGTAGTCTGCTTTTGTCAGTATTCATCTTGGAAAGGCATTTATGCTGGTGTAGCAAGGAATGACTCAATTTAATCCCTTCTCACGAAGATGGTGGAATCATGATTTGCAGTGAAGCTTGATAAGATGCAGGGAGAAAGGTTTGCTAGTTTGGTTGCCACTAACAAGGTAGTTAAGGATTCAACATCTTTCTCCCCCAGGAAAGCAGAATTGAAACCTTTGAAGAGAAGAGAATGATGGAAAAACTTTGATTTTGACAGTTGCATTAAGATAAACGGCCATTTTCCATTTCCTTGACAGATATTTGTAGAAAGAAGAGAACTAATTGGCCATTGGGTAAGCTTGGAAATTAACAAGAGCACTGCTTCTAACCCTAAAGGCTCAGAAAAGCTCACACTTGGTGCCACAGCCAACTTACAGATTAGATAATAAGGTCATGAGGTGCGGATTCAAGCCTCGTCGTTGACTATGAGTAGTAAAAAAAAGCTGGGGATTCTTAATTCCCTCCTGAGAGGGCTGCTTCAGTTATTGTCTCACTGTGCCAACCAGTGACACAGTGCATCTCCCAATCATGCGCTTAACTCAGACTAATCAGTTATTACTATATCAGTTTTCATGAGTGGGGGATTTGATGGGTTTTATTTCACAAAGAATTCCAGAGAAACAGAAGCCAACCTTGACATAACTCTTAAAACGTGACAAAGTGCCTGGATTGGGGCTTTGATTCTAGTCAAAAATTTTGAGATGATCTTTTGTTAAAAAAAACAAGGGTCGGTCTAGTGGATCATTTTTAGATATCTAATCGGCAAGTCTGTCAATAACAAGTTTTTTCTGTGAATTAGGAGAAAAAAGACAAGACCAATCCTGCTTTGGCCTTTGTGACAACTTTTTAAACAAACATCTTTGCATGCCGTCAGTAACTTGCTTTTCACAAAGCCTTGTAAAAGATTCATTGTTTGCGTAATGCTTGTTTCACTTGACTTACATCAAATAACATTTTGAAACCTTTTTCTGAGTGCTGCTATCTTTTGTGCTATGGCATGATAATCCCTTCTTCAGGTTAACAAACTGTTAACTTTCCAATACTTTGAACAAGTTTGACCTGTGGACGGATGCTCAGAGGAAGCGTTTCTTGCAGTACATCCTGCTGCGCTGCCGACGGGCACAGCTCCTTTACCTCTACAACTGGTTCCAGGGGCGTGTTCCCCTGGAGCACCTGGACTTCACTGCGGTGCTGCCGCGCTTTCTGGCACTCTACATCCTGTCCTACCTGGACCCCCGTAGTCTGAGCAAGGCCGCCATGGTGTGCTGGCATTGGAAGTTCCTTGCCGAGCAGGTTGGTCATCTATCCCTGTGAACTGAACCTGTTCGCATGACAGCGAAGCAGAGCAGCATTGTATTCGAGTCCATTGCAAGTCCCTGTTAATCCCTCACAAGTCCATCACAAGTCATTCAGTCTGAAGCCAATTCATAAGCCATTCAAATGAGCTCTGACAAAAGCACTCCTCTGTCATTGTTCACCAATATGACTGGCCTTGTGAAGGGACTTGTGACTGGACTTGCGAAGGGACTTGTAAAAGGACTTGTGATGGACTCGAATACAACAATGAAACCGAGACTGACAGCCACCGTGCTATCATCAGTTGCAGATATTTTTGTTCAGGGCTGGCTTCTGTGATCCGTCAATTCCTAAAATGTGGTTGAATGGGGGATTCACCTGCAGAATGAGGTAGGGATCACAGCGCAGATAAATGGACACAGTGTGACACAATGTGCTATCAAACATGTTGCTGTCATGGAAAGCTTTTTACATTTTCACACAGTGCGGCCTCAGAACTGCAATGTGGCAAGATAGATTTCTAACACCCATTAGAAATCATCATACGACCAATCACGATGTATTATATGATTGCCTACTCGGCCCTCTGGTATAATATGTCGCACGTGTTCATTTCAGTTTACATACATGTGTGAAGAGCCACAGATTTATCATCTGGTCTCAATGGTAGTGTCTTTTCCCAAAGACGTGCTAAAGTACAACTTCACGGCTTCTGTATACCATCAAATTTGAAAAACCATTTGGGTCATTCTCTAAATTTGGGGTCCAATTTTTTCCTGTCCCTGTTACGTCTAGCGTGTGATTTTTTTTATGTTTACAATTCATTCTTTAATTTCTAAGAGTAAAAAGGTACTGCAAATTATCTGCCAAACAAATAATAGTTTGAAATCAATTTCACCAATATGCCTTTTTGTCAAATTATACAGGTCATGTGTAGCAGGGACAGACCGCGAATTTATAGAATGACCCATTTCTGAACATCTATACACTCTTTGCCTACTTACGCTATTTTTATGGCAATCATTTGTGTACTTCAAATGTTGTAATTTGCAGGACATTCTGTGGATGCCTAAATGCATCAAACTGGGCTGGTTCTTGCCTTACAAACCCAAGGATAACGAATACGGAGCATGGAAGAGGCATTACGTTCACTGCCTCCAGACGCTGGACGTTGCCCAATCACCCAAAGATGTAAGTCCAGTTAAAAGGCCCAGTTTATTCCCGGCCACAGAGCTATAACTCCGTCTGTGCTGTGGTGCAGTCAACTGGCTCGTAAAGTTTAAAGGTGCTGTGCTGGGAGGCATTGCAAGCAGAGCTGCAGAGGGTGACTTCACTTTGCACATTCATGCACTACGTGCGCGTCAGCCCTGTGAGTAATTTTAAGTTTCAGCGGAATATTCAGAAAGACATTGAGTATTTGGGTGAACGTGTAAAATGCATTGGAGTGTGGTTCCCAGAGAAAATAGTATTGCTCCACCTTCACTAACTGCTAGCTTGGCTTTTCCAGCATTAGAAGATGTCGCTGTGCAGTACACCCAGAAGATTGTAATCAGTTGCTGCATATTTCAGTCTACCAGCCTTAACGGGTGACAATAGATAAATGTACTTGTGAGAACTGGATCATACATGCTTTAAAAACCACCAAATTCGTTTCATATTTGGTCTAATACTTTGGCCAATATCAGGACTCTCAACAATTCCTTCACAGGATAAACAAAGTATGTTTTTTTCCAGTTTTGGTAGCTCTGGTCATCCATGCTGATGTTGCTTTTGACTATGTTGTCTTTTCAGTTTGGCCTGTATGGCCGGATGGGAGATGGCTCAACTTTGGATGACTCTGAAGCCAAAAAGAAGAAAAAGCAAAGATCAAGTGATGTCCTTGTCTCAAGCAGCTGTGAGTACCCTGCGAATGATCACAGACTTGGATACAGAGATGGTTTTTATGAGGGCCTTGGGCAAAATCAACTTTCCGTGGGTCAGTAATCAATAATTAATGGTGGTATAAAACTCCATATTAAACACTGTCACACTTATGTCTTTTTTAATTGGACCTATCCACCCAGTGGACAGCCGTCCTGTCTGGCTGGACCCTGACCCCCGACCCCAGGATCTAGAGAACGCCTACCAGAGCATGGTGCATTCTGGCAATCCCAACCAGCCTGGAATGCCCCCGTCCACCTGGAAACATGCCAACAGTAAGACAGTGAACGCCTTGCCAGTGCGCAAGCACGGGAGGTCTTGGACAGAGCCGGCGAGGGAGTTTGATTACGGGCTGGGAGCAAAGTCCAGAAGAGAACAGCATCGAGCCCAAGGGGTCAGTAGCTTCATATGCCTTCTCGGTTGGATTCTGTAAATGGTTTTTATTACAAAATGCTGAACCCACGTTTACGAGTGATTCTTCAGAACTTTCTTGACTTTGAATGGCTTTACAAATGGACTGAAATTATTTCTGAAAGTTTATCTTCCATTGCTTTCAGACTTTTTTTTAGTAAATCGTCATCAGAAATGAATCCTGAAAGGCAGGTATAATTTTCTATTAAAACTAACTATAGTTCTTGTTATTTCAGGACATAAATTCCCTCTCAGTGCATATCAAACATGCAAAAAGTGAATGGCATAATCACCATGCCACACTGAGCAACTTCATCGCGATTGAAATTGTGGAGATCATAAAATTGTATCAAGTCATCGTGATGAATTGAGCACATCCCTGTATGAAACATCTCCAAAACTTCAGTGTTTGCTGCAAAACGAACCACTTGCGAACTTTTGAATTCACTTTGAACATTCAGAGAGATGATCTTGACTTCTCTGGAGTATCCACAGAGGCGGTCACCCTTTCAGCAAGCATTGCCTTGGAGATGGGCCAACCCGTGGGCGCAGCCCTGCTACAGTCCATCCGACACGAGGCCAAGAAACCGGTCACCCGCAGGTAGCTATTTTGACATAATTAATGTGTTGCTCATTTGGCGGAATTCTTGAATACCCAATATCTGTTCCACTTCCTGACGATTGTTGTATCTTTGCTAATTTTGTTCAGGAGAGACTTGTCTGCAGGGGGTGATTACCCAGGAGGCATTGCAACCCGTTCCCACAGTGCACTGGGCAAGCTGAGTCCCGCAGGGCCACGCCAGAACCCCCGTCTGCTTGTGATCTCCTCACAGATTACCGCTATGCAGGTTCGTCTTGCCAACAGACTTTTTTTCCGTAAAGTAAAAGGGGTGGTACTGGATACCGATTCTGTGCAGTTGGTTCAGTATGCCAAAGGGAGTGGGCCACGGAGTATTTTATCTGAAATCTTCATTCATGTTTATTGCTCTCTATTTATCTCATCAGCTTCTCATCTCTGCTGTCAAGCCTGATGTCTTGGTTGTAGCCTATGAGTACATCGGAACCACCTTGGAGTCTCTCCTGTTCAAGATTGAGGAAGTGCTAGCTGGAATGCAGGCAAGGTATGATGGTGTAAAGTTTATATTAATTAACCAAATTAATTGATTAAAGCCAACTTTGCAGTGGAGATGTAGGACATTTCTATTTGTTTTTTTACACTCATCATTTTTAATTTCTTAGTCCAAGTTTGCTTTTGTGTAAACCAGATGGTCTCCGGTCTTTCACTGGCACTGTTTTAATCATTCTGTGGTGAAATGGTGGAAAAAACAAGGCATTTGGGCCATTGAAGAGGGCAAAATCTGTAATTCTTGGGAAGGAGAGTTGTCCTTAGAGTAAGCCCTTGGGCTGACACTACAGGCTGACATTTTTGCACTTAGCTGGTTAACACATACTGTTCGTCAAGTGTATGTACGCAGTGGGTGTTGGTAGACTTTTCCTGGTCCTGCCATAAGTGGTCTTATTTTGACTAATCACGGAAGTGGCCAGCCTTTCTGTTGTTTACTGGGGGAACTGTTGTTTCTGCCTGGGGCCCATTGCAGAGGCAATTAGTCTCTGTTTATCCCATGTGTGATTGGATGCCACAGAATCAGTGTTATGGCAATTTTGTATGTTATTTTGTTTCAGTTTCCATCACAAATGTATCAACTGAGATGCTTATTTTGATAAATTAATATATATGAATATTGGCAATGTTTTGGTGAAAACTGTCGAGGGTCCCATTGATGTTGCATTGTGCAAGTGTTTTGAAAAGGTCTTGATCCTAAGAAGTTTTGTGAGGTTTGATCACAAAACTGTAGCCTGTAGTGTGGACCAATTTGATCACGGTATCATCCGGATACTATCCGATACAACAAATACTTTCAAAAACTGCTTGCAAAGAGAAAAATCAAATGACACACTCACCCTCAGGGTATGAGATAAGAATTTTTGGTAGGGCATTGTAGGCCCTGTGGAGCAAGTAATTTAATCAAAATGTCTGGATACGCCTTTGATTTTTGTTTTTCATAATTTTTTTCTTTTTTGGGGGGGGGTTGTCCTCAGGAGTATCGGCATCATGGTTGAGGGCTGCGACGAGATCCAGCTGGTGGGCTCCATGGCAACCAGCCGAGCATCCCTGGAGAGACCTGAACTCAAGTATTTCTGGGAGCAGCTGTGTGCCAACATCCTGCCTGGTGCTCAGGGGGGTCACTTGGACCTCTTTGTACCCCTTGCTGCCTGCGGTAGGTCACCAACCTGTTTATATGAGTGATGAAATGCATGTCAGAGAGTAGATGGTCCTGATGTGTGATCGTTTCTTGCTTTTAAAATGGATGTGTGAAACACAGCTACCCCAAGAATAAAGGGTATTGAAAGGCCATGCATCTCTCAACTCTTAGCTTAACTGTGGCCATTCGAAGGTTAAGCTTGATTTAATATCCAAGATTGTTTCTAGATTACACAGTCAAAGGAGACAAACATTTGTTGGGTACTGTAATTGTGAGGGGTGGATCTTACTTAGCAGATACAAACATAAATATTTGAGTTTTCTGTGAAAGTTTTGCTTCCATTAAATTTAGACCATCAGTATCAAGTTCTCCAGAATTATACATGTTTCCAGTCTTCCAGTTTGCTGGTGTGTTGAATGGTTAAATGAGCTCAAGTAGTAGGCATGTTGGACTTAGATTCAGGAAATGACTTACTGATTGGTATGACCTCGAAGAAGTGGAAAAGTTATGTTTTAATCACAGCAGATCTTCCTCTGTACAGTCTCAAAATTCCTCTTGATTTTTACTGACTGAATGATTTGCACTTCAAAAACCTTTTCGAATGTACTTATTCTCTTTTTTTTGTTGCTGTAGATGATGGGTGTATTCTCTTGCAGCAGCTGAATCAATTGACCGGCATTCCCTTCACGTCACCCTCCACGCTGTCAGACTCTAAGTATGGACATGGTAAGTACAAATTGAACATCAGATGTCAAACATCTTTTGGAAGGATGAATATTTCTCAAATAACTAGATTCTGTATAAAGAGCTGCAAAGCAGAAAATACGTTGCTCTCCAATTTTTTCTCTATTATAAAACATCAGCTGTAAACGAGAGGTACAATTGTGCGTCAAAGATTGTTGCATATTGTACTGTTGGGCACAGTTTTTTTTCAACCTAAGAAAAATTGTTCACCTGAGTTTAAATTGGGCTGATCTCGACAGCCATCCACAAGTAGCACATTTGTCAGAGCAGCTTGCTTTCCAACTTGTTTTTTCCCGGGAATTGAATTATTTGCCCAATTAATTACTGTAATTTCCAGCTCCAAATTATTGGATTCTGGTTTCACTAGAAAATTGTTTTTCTTTGTATTCTTTCAGCTTGTGTAACTTACCTCGGTATATTTTACAAAATGATGAACGTCAATGAGTGCATTGGTAAAACTTCATTCATACAAGTGCTCTGCCAAAGTCCCTGTCACAAATTATAAATTTATGCCAAAATTTCTTGTGACCTAGTATTGAAACTTCCATGTATCGCTAAGAAGGCCTTAAAACTGGAACTTATTTTTGAAGTAGTTTATCAATTTTGCGTTTGGGTAATACACAGTAATTCAACGACACATGATCAGCAACCCATCCATGAGATGATGTCAAATGAGGATACATTATTCAAGCTTGCTTAACGGTGAATAACATTTGAATTCTGAGGAAAGGTCCTGAGGAAAACTCCTCCAAATTTTCAACGTTTGAATAGCTGTTTTGTATTTCTGTCCCTAGTAATGGGTGAATGGGATAACTGGGGAAAGTCGCCTAGTCCGGCTTCCCTGTACCTGGAGTATGACAAACTACAAGGCTGGCTGGTGTCAGCACAGCGTGTCATGGAGGCGGTTGCGGCCTGCCAGAAACACCTCAGGAGCTACCTCAGAGGGGAAAAGGAGGACCTGGTGGCTAAACTTGCAGGTAAGGGAGCGTCTTGGAACAGTCGAAACGTTCCCATTAGAATGCCATGTTCTCATTCCAGAACGGTTGGCTATTCTGTTGGGAATGTGATGTTCCACATGGAATGCTGTGTTCCTTTGTGAAAATGATCCGACGGGAACATGTGTTCCCATCGAAACGTCCCCATTCGGGTAGCTTCATATCGACCATGTACAAATTTTAGCCAATGTCCAAAAACGGAGCCTACCATGACAAACAAGCGTAGGTAAACTACTTTGTGATGTGACAAAAATTGTTAATGTGATGATGGAAATTTTGTTTTTAACTGAGATACAAAAGTAAAAATCACTACATACTGACTTCATGCAGAGTACATGTATATGTTGGTGTGTGTATCACTCGGCTATAGGCTGCAATACCAACGTTGAGCTTAATTGCCTTAGTCATGTCATTCAACCTTGATATTTGAAGACCTCACCCCGCACCCCTTCAATTACAGGTTAGGTTTTTAAATTGTTTCTGATATGACGGTATACTTATGCGTGGAAACATTGCCATGATAAATCCCTCTATCACGCAAACCTGACAATAAATAAAACACTTGCAAGTACAGATGTTAACATTAACACAATAAAATTAACGGTGTCCAGATTATACTCTAAAGTCATTGCATGGTAAGCTATGCCATGGTGAATGTGGAAAGAAAAAATGGGAGAAAAGTTAACCTTCGTGAGGAGTAAATCACAAAATGCTGCGCTCCAGCTGCCGTCCTGCAGACGCAGGGTCTAAGAAATGAATGCCAAAAATCTTTCTTCCCGATTGCAAATGTAACTGCAGCACCGTTCCGCTGGGAGCATGTGTTCCAAATGGAACGATGCCAGGAACTGTCTAGAATGTGCTTGCGATGCGGGCATGTTCCAGCGCCAGTGTTCCAGTGGGAACAGTCCAACAGAACGGGAACGTTCTTAATTTTTGAAACCCTCCCTAAGGCAGTGGATGTGTGGTGGGTCCATCTCACCTTTCCAGAACAGTTACAGAGGGGACTCTGTGTGTGTGTGTACGGCTGCATTTCGTGACCAAGCAGAGAGAGTGTCAGTCAGGCCTTGCATCAGAATGGTGCTATCCGTCCACTTGCGTTCATACATTGTTTGGAAATCCATTGTCTCCTTGTCATTTCCAGGCGATGTGGTGTTCAGTAATCTTGGTACTCAGGATGCCAGACTGGGTCAGATTGCGCCCTCTCTAGTCCAGGCACTGTCCAACCTAACTGAGCAGTCATTAGAGGTAAGACTGGCCAAGTTGTACCTTATCGTTCCTTTTCTTATGCCTGGCCATTAAGACATAATTGATTGTCCTACTTTGCTGGAACATGGATAACCACTGTTGCAATTGAGATTGCTTTAGTTTATAGAATAGGAGTCTGTAGCACCCCTTCTCAAACAAGTTACATTTCCTGTCTGTAGTGTTAGACGGAATATCAAACCATCTGCTACCAGTGTTGTGATCAAGTCCATTATTATTCCCTGGAGGTCCATCATATGTCATTCAATCTTAAGCCAAATGAACTGTCACAAAAGCATTCCTTCGTCATTGTTCGCCCTGTTTATGACTGTTCTTCTGAAAGGGTGTGTGACTGGACTTGTGAAGGGACTCACCTACAACACTATTACTCCCTGTCCCCACGCCCACCTCAAGCAAACTGCCTGTCTTACACCCACAGAGCTCAGACACTGTCAGAAGCAGGGTTGGTGAATAGTTCCTCCAAACTCTCGCAGGGGTTTCACTTGTTACATGCTTTCTGTCTTTGGTTTTATTGCAGGTGGATCCCTTGACATTTGTAGGCAAGCAACTGATCCAGGCAAGTGGACAAGACCAGAAAATGACGGCTGCTAAACAGAGCCCAGCCAAGGGATTGGCAGCAGTATCCACCAAACCAGTAAGATCCAACTTAATGCTGCACGATTTCCAACATATAAGAGACAAGACCTTGGTTTTGGGGATTGAAAATAAGTTATAGTATGGTTTGTTTGACTTCTTCTTGAAACTTTTAATACAAGTTTATGCCCTTTTGCCAGCAAGCGTTAAAAATGCCATATGCTTGATATTTCCACAATGAGCACTGTATTTCACATGTACGTCTGCAGGAGAATTGGGGCACTCAGACAGCTGCAAAGCAACTTTTATAAGTTGTTTATTTCTAGTTATAATGCCAAAGATTATTCCTTATTGAAAGTCTTCATGGCACTTTAGCTCCAAAGCCTTCATGGCGCTTTAGCTCCAAAGCCTGAAAGGAACCTTTAGAGCTTGGAGGAAAACCTCAGATGAATATTCTACAGAAACCTGTTGGAATCAGGTAGGGATTGAAAACCCAATCCTTTTGCCAACCAAGTGGGGATTCGAACCCCAGGTCACAGAGGTGTGAGAGGAGGGAAGTACCGTTGCACCACCTGGCTCCCCAATGTGGAAGCACACTTTAAGATCAACCAGTATGATTTGCAGTCCCTAATGATGCCCTTCCACATACTGATACTTCTGAACATGTATGAAGTCAGGAACATCTCCGGAGCGAAGGCAAAGTAAGGCAATAGTTCTTGATGATAGCGTTGGCTGTCTCAACCCAAAAAGAGGATATGATCAAGGATGCAGATGTTTTCTTAAATTGTTTTTATCTTTTCTCAAAACAGCTCAAAAAGATGTCAAGTTTAGATGTTGACGGTGACAGCGAAATCTCGGAGGAGATTGGGGAGGAGATCTCAGACTTTGACAGCGAGGTTGAGAATATCAACCACAAGGCTCTCTACTCCTCTGTTTCAGAGCTCAGACCGGCAGAAGTACCAGTCACGACCGGTCCCCAGCAAGCATCCACCTTCAAAGTAACACAGGTGAAAAAATGGTTTGATATCATTTTTACTGTAGTAAATTGCTCACCGAAATGTCTGAATACTTTGAGTACTTTGTTCAAACTCAGATTAGCCTATAGCCAAGAGATAATTTCATTCTGGAATAACACCCAATCCACTTTGCCAATTTTGTTTGAAACAAAACCATTCTAACATTCAGTGAGTTTAAAATGGCATCACAGAATTTGGTGTAATAACATTGTTAGACTAACTTTCCTCACACCTTGTGTAATCAGTTTTGGACAGGTCTGGTTAATCAGATAATTCTCCTCTGTTGATATGGCAATGCCATATCAATAGCTTCATTTATGGCAATGAATGGTACGGAGCCAACACAAATAGGAAAAACAAGTGAATTATTAAGTCTGATGTCAGATCTGAAGCACATATGGCTTATCAAGCCCTTGTCTATACATAAATATCTCTAAATTAATATAAAATAATGGCTAATGACAAACTTAACTGTCCAGTTATCTACCCAAAGCCTAAAAGGACAAATGGAGATCATGCTTTTATTGTTTACGCCCCTCTGCTGTGGAACAGGTTAGCAGTTTTTCATAGAAATATAGACAATTTTGGGACTTTTAAATCCCGATTGAAGACTTTCCTCTTTAACTCTAGTGTCAATGGTGCATTGATAGAGATCGACAGATACCTCCAAATATGGTCATAACTTTTTTTGCAATGGGCCAACTTGGCCAAGATTTTTTGCAATCCTCACCCCAGGCATACACCACAAGCCTTTACACTCCCATTGGCCAGACCCCAACCACTGCCGAGTTTAAAGTCTTGAAAGATCAGTCACCCCAAGGAGGCCATATGATCTCTATCAGGCAATGGATCTCTTTGTTTATGGTCGTGTGCTGACTGGAGGCAGTTTGGGTTGTGAGCTGGTATTGCTTGTACTTCCACAGCAGAATAATGAAATGTAGTTAGAAGGGACCTGGGGAATGTATTAGCTACCATATAACAGTCGTACAAGTTCAGGCATGACCAGGAACTGACCGGTGATGAGAATCTCCACGTGGTGACAACAGTCTTTGTTTTTGGGCGTGGCTGCTCCCCAGGGTTAAAGATGTTAACTTTGAGTTTACTTGGTTTTATTGACTGTATCGCGTGTGTGTGGAGTATTGACATCATCTAACTTGATTTTAAATGTAACAATTTTATATATCGTACCTATACCTTTACTAATTAATCGTGAATAATTAGTATTATTGTTTAATATATATTGTGAAGCGTTTTGAGACTTTTTGTGTAAAATGCTATGTCAAAAATAAAGTATTAGTATTATTATTATATGATTAATAATGACCATTCCCTCTGCATGAGATGTCAGCCTGTTTAAACTGATTTCTTCCCAGCTGATATCTGTTCGTACCTCTGGTGGCTGAGAAGCTGGCTTGCCAAAGTTCACAACAATTACGGCTCTCGAAGCTGGATTCAAACCCCTCACTGTCTGATCACAAGTCACAAACCCTAAGAACTATGCCATGTTCTTGCATTAGGGAGGCAGGACATGGAGATGTCATCAACACCTCCAACATTGCAATTCAACCAGAGGTCATTCAACCTTGCAAGATTTTTAGTAACGGTTTATTAATTGCTGTCAATCGAACCTGTAGTTGCAAACGGGAGACCCCAGGCACAGCACTGCCGTCCAGATCTTGTCGTCGGAGCTGGCCTACCTCAAACATCTCAACATCATCGAGGATGTCTACCGTAAGCCTCTCCTGGCGGCAATCAAATCCAACAAGGCCATCATCAGCCAAGCCAACGTCCAGATGATCTTCACTGATGTCAACTTGATCCTGTCCATTACACGGTGAACATGAGATAGATGTGCTGATAAACCAAGATTTTGTGTCGTAGATCAGAGGTCTTTTTCTCCGTTCCAATCACTGTAGTGCTTTTGTTCGTTGTCGTCCCCAATACCAACTGTTAAAAGTCTTTTCACCAAGATTTTGCCGGTGTGTTTTTATCATAGTGAACAAAAACTGTGTAAGAAAGAGAAATTAGGTTAAAAAAACATTCCCGGAATGGACATTGCTGTGTTTATATGTTCTTTAAAGAGGGATCATTAATCACCAATAACTGGGACCTCCTAAATTATTGGTTTAGGACTTCATTATCGTTCAAGTTCCAAAAATGGAGAGTTAACCGCACACTCGTGAATGAAGTCTGTTAGCACAGTGTACACACACTCTATAACTGTACATGGTGCTCATGCACGGGTCCAAAAGTGTGACATTTTGTGTCTCTGTTACATCCGACCTTTGTTTATTATTTGACATGGAAATATCACCAGAATAGATTTCAAACTATTACTATTTGTTTGGCAGGTAATTTGCATTAATCCATTACTCTTGGAAATTAAAAAATATGTTCTGAACTTACAAAATCATATGTCAGATGTCACAGGGACAAAAAAAAAGTGGACCCCTAATTTCTGGAATTTCCCATTACACGGTTATGCATCCTATCCCCGACATCTGTGAACCAGTCGCACACCTGACACATTGCCCCTGAGAAGAGTTCTGCTGCTTTTGGTACAAAAGCAGTTTAGATGTCATCTTCGTGCCAAAGTCTGTAGTTCAGTGCTACTGGGTTCTTGAATTTATCAAAGAACTGATTGGTGGAACTTGTTGGGTGCAGGGAGTTAGTGGAAGACATGAGTGACCATCTGGAGCAGTGGTCTCCGGAGCAGTGCATTGGGGACTGTTTCATCAAGCTTCAGGCCAAGCTGAAGACATACACCAACTTCCACAAGAATTATCAGATAGTGCTATCCACGTTGGATAAGGTGAGTGGCTCCGCATGGCCAAACAGATTGAACTTGCCTAGAAACTTCAGTAGAAGTATCGCGTCAATGTTGTGTCTTCTACGTGTGAAATCCACAAACAGCGAGTACAAGAACCGACCCGTAAAAAACAGCCAATGTAATCTGAAATCCGTCGCATGTTTCTCTGCTGCACGTAATCCAGTATTAAGGCCTGCCCCTGTGCATATCAAGCAAAACATGCATAATCCAGTTGCATGTATCATGCCGGCATGTGCACTCATATCAGACTTTCGTGGACACAGTTTGAACTCATTGGTCTGATTGGTCAGAGCATGGTTTGGCGGTGCTGAATTCTATTACGCATGCACTGAAGAAATGCAGGCACCCGCAGAATAGAGAGTGACGCTCAAGTGACTTCCTAACAGTGAAATTCACAGTTGTTCTGCTAGAGTGGCACTGTGTATGAGACTTGTTAGGAATGAGGATGAGAGGCAGTCGCTGCACAGCTAGCATCCACAGTGGTTCCTGTTCTGTGGCACCTCTTGTGGTTCCTGTTCTGTGGCACCTCTTGTGGTTCCTGTTCTATGGCACCTCTTGTGGTTCCTGTTCTATGGCACCTCTTGTGGTTCCTGTTCTATGGCACCTCTTGTGGTTCCTGTTCTATGGCACCTCTTCTGGTTAGCCAAGTTCTCAAAGCCCTGTAGATTCTTTAGAGTACTGATGTGTGACGTCATTTTGAACCAGGAAGTGCAGTACAAACGAATGGAGTATTTGTACGTATTGGTTCATGCAAGGTTTCTCGTGCTAATGCCTCTTACATACATAATTGTGTGCGTGACGTATTCACTTCAGTTCTCTCTCGGCAGTGCCTGTTACCCGTGAATATAAACTACTGGTAGAGCTAACTTAGACTATGTTTGAGCGTGTCACTTTTGTTTATATAAGTATATTCCTGAAGGCAAGAATAACAGAAGTATGATCCATGAGTAGGTGAGAGTATACTATTGATCAAACCTGAAGTATACTCTTCCATCAAGTGGTTATTTTAAGATGACAGAAAAGGTAAACATTGACCATTGACAAGTGATCCAGGAGTAACAAATTAGCAAACGAAGCGTCATAGTCAAAAATTGACCAAGGATAAAAGCTAACCATTTTCTGGTTCCACGTCTCGGTGATTGAGCAGTATGTGCACAGAGACCTTTGAGCTGGCCATCAATCCACTCGTTTTATTTGTTTTCTCCCTCTAGTGTCGTCAGCAGTACCCAGCCTTCCGCGCCTTCCTGAAGCGCACCGACTGCTCCCCGCAGACTGGCATGATGTCGCTGACAGACCTGTTCCTCCGTCCTGCCAGGCGGGTGTGCGAGTACATCCAGATGCTCCTCGCCCAGCAGGGCGTGACCGCCGACGAGCATCCCGACAACACGGACCTGGGCGTGGCCGTAGGAATGTTCAGGCAGCTGCAGGCATTTGTGGACGAGGTTCTCGCTGCTAATTATGTCAACTTTGTTTGTAAATGCAGCAATTCATTTGGGACAAGAACAGGGATTTTATAAGTGGAACCTTGAGCTGGTGTTTACTTGAATCAAATGGCTGTGCAAATGATTCCTGCAAGATCTGAACCTAGCTTAGCACCTGCTTCATACTCACGTTGATGTCTGTAGTTTGATGTAAGGGATGACCAGTTGATACATACGAATAGGACCTGTTAATAACAAAGACATCAGATTGGAGTTCACATCAGACAACTTGGACAAAAATTTTCCTTCCTAGATTGATCTAGCATGTGTTTACTGCGGTGTTGGAAACTGAGTCCGTCACATATCCCTAATATGACCATTGCAAGTCCATATCCTAGCCACATCATTCAGGCTTAAGCCCAATAACAATCTGTACAAATGAACCTTGATAAAAGTGGCCCTTTGTCGTTGTTCACTCAGTGACTTACGACTGGTCTTGTGGAGGGATTTGCAAAGGAACTTTGATGGTTCCTCGAGTGCACTGGTTGACTTTACAGTCACAATTTACAGCAGTGGCAGAAGGCTTTTGACAAATGGAAGTCACCATCGAACTGATCTGAACGGTAGCTGGATCCATTTGTGAGCATACATTCAGCATGTGCTAGGAATGGTGTATAAGAATGTTGGATGGATAGGGGATGGCCTGATCATAAAGATGTCCCCTTTTTGTTTTTGCTTACTTTTGTTGTGTACAGTGCCGGGAGAGGTCTGAGCGAGAGCGTCAGTTGCAAGAGTTGCAGCGTCGCATCAAGAAGTGCCCCGCCCTGCTGGAAGCCAACCGCTTCCTGATCAGAGAGCAAGTGGTCGCAAACATGCAGCAGATTGAGGAAAGTGGCAAGGCAACAGGGTAAGATCGCGGGACCTTGCTACCTAAGGCTTGCACTTTAGTCCTCAGCTTGTACTTGAAAACTACATGTAAATCTTAAGTGGTGATTCGTGCAGGTCATTTAAAGTATTATCCACAAAGGATGATTCTTTGAACATACCTGCAAACCACTCCGATTTAATCCAAACTGTTGTGATTTTTAAGTTTTCAGACAGCAAAAATTGGAACATTCCAAGTTTCTTAACAATAAAAAAGAATAAATAAAAAGGTCCCGGCGAAGGAGCTAA